TATTAATATATTGTTTACTATTTATGAAAAATGTTTTAGCTGTAATAAATATAATTTAAATATAAAATTAAATATAGTCATTAATATAATTAAATAATATGAAATGTAAACAAAATTTCAGTATTAATATTTCTGAACAATGTTTTATCTGTCGTTTATATGTTACTAAGTAATATAATTACACTTTAATTTAAATGTAGTCATTAATATAAAATAAAATATTTTTGTTTCAATATTTCAATATTAATATATGAATTAATATTTGTGAACAGTACGTTTTATCTGTAGTTTGACATTTTGTTAAGAAATATAATTTAAATTGAATATAGCAATTAAATAATTCATATACCTAAATACTATATATAATATAATGATTATTTGTTACAATTATTTTTCAATATTAATTTATTGATGAATATTTAATAACATATATATAATTATTGATTCATTATTAAGAGTTAATATTATTTGGAAATGCAAAAAACAAACAAACTTAAGAACAGTAAAAAATAAATGGGTGATGAATTTATGAATAGATACATAGTTGATAACTAGTATTGCATAACTTTGACGAGCTATAGGGAAGTTCAAATTTTCATTTGTGCAATTTTTAGTGAAGCCGGCCCAACAATCTGTCTGTGCTTCACTTTCTGGGTGTTTAGAGGGCAATGAATGAGTTTAACCCCTTGTGGCATATGTGAGATTTCCTCATCTGTGACGGGGTCATTTAAAGGGTAAAGAGTCAGTGACTGATGAGTAGAAGTCAGACAGGAAGAGATCAGCCCTCAATAGTGAGTCATTTGGAGGGATGAGTTTACTTTATTACAGCAACACCGTTCACTCATTCAATTCCCTCCATTTGTGTACTGATTTATCTTCTGTCATTGTAAAGAATACGCTAAACTATACGGGACAATGTACAGTAGGGCTGTGCAATATGGACATAATAATCAAGAAGATCAGGCCCTTTCTTTCAGAACACGCAACACAACTCCTTGTTCAAGCTCTTGTTCTATCCAGGCTGGACTATTGCAATGCTCTCTTGGCAGGTCTTCCAGCCAGTTCTATCAAACCTCTACAATTAATCCAGCGTCTGCTAAATGACTAAATGTAAATGTAAATAATCGCAGATATTTGACAGATATTGTGTTTTTATTTTATTGCAATTTTTGGCAGGTGCATTTAACTTTAAGTGTTCAAAAATGTGTATCAGAAGAAAATAGAATTATCCACATTCTGATTATCGAACAGCTTTTGCACACAGATGAGAATGCCACAGTTTAACCCTGTAAAGCCTATTTAATACGTGCATTTCTAAGGCCTCTAAATGATCAACATCATCAAAACTTTGCTGAAAAGCCTGTTGCACTCAATCTACTGCATGCCTTCTGTCTTTTTTAGCAAGTGAAAGCTCTTTTAAGGCCCGTTCACACCAAGGACGATAACTATAAAGATAACGATAAAGATATAGTTATAAAAATAGTTCTCAATATTAAAGAATAGCAGAGTCCACACCACAACTATAAAGATAAAGACACAGAGAAAGATATAATTGGAATCACTTCCAGAACTATTTTTTTTTTCCAGCTGAAGAACGATACAAACACTGACAGCCAATCAGAATCCATCCTGCTGTAACGAGCTCAAAAATGTAAAGCGGCAGACGCGCGTGCGCTTAGAATAAACAGACGATATCGTTCGCTGGTGTGGACGCTAATATCGTTATCTTTATAGTTATCTTTATAGTTATCGTTCTTGGTGTGAACGGGGCTTTAGTGTAATTGTACAAACATCCACCTTCAGCTGGTGCTACATGTGTCTTTTTGCTGTCAAATCCTTATTGATTTTTATCAAGTAAACGTCAGAATAACTGCAGTTCCACGAGCTTTGAGTGAAGATGTGCTTCCACGTCTGATTTGTAAATGTTGTTCTCATTGAATCAGAGATTAGCTTGAAATGTTCTGTTCAATAGCATCACAGTGGGAAGTGTGCAGTCTTGCAGTAGTGTAAATGTACTCTTTTGAAGCGTACATGCGACTGTGTGAAACATTAAAGTCTGGTATTGAATGGCCACATGAAGCACGCATCATCCGAGGTGGAAAATACTTTTCCCAGAAGGCATTCTGATTGGTTGCATGTGGGTTTGGCAGGTCTAGAGGAATAGTTTAGATACTGTGAGAGACTAAACCATGCTGCAGGGCGCTTGCTTGAGGCGTATGGAAGTTGACGTGTCTGCTGTGCCATTAGAAGTCATTTTTGAGCCATTGCAATGTTCAGGATATTTCTGAAGAAAATGCGAGTCATTCTCACCTGCTTGCGAAGAATTAACCTCATGCTCATTGCTTTCTAGACATTTTCCTGAGTTTCCGCGGGCAGCCGATGGAGCACGTGGTTTATTCAGACTGCAGCTTCTTTGAGAGTTCGTCTAGCGGGGCGTTTCCTTCAACTGCTTCCTCTGCCGTCACCAGTCAGATAATACACACAGGACCTCTGCTAACACAGGTACAACACTCATTCATGGTGTAATTGCCAAGTGCCACTAGTGTCACCAAACAAAACTGTAAACGTGACTGTTTTCTCAAACACGTCTGCCATCGTTTTTTTCCAGAGTTTTTCTTTTTTTAGCAGCATCATCCTACAAATTACTTGATTGATTGTGAACATTAAGTAATATTATATTATTTTAATATGTTAAAATGTATTATATTAAAATGTATTTATTCTATTAATATTTATATACATATACATACAAGTTTATTTTCAACATTTTAACGTAAAAATGTGTGCCATGCTTTTAACCATGATAATAATTGTATTATATTATATTTAGGGCTGTCAATGTTAACGCGTTAACGCATGCGATTAATTCAAAAATCCTTAACGTGTTAAAATAATTTAACGCAAAAGTCGATCAAGCCGCTAAACTCCAGGACGGTTTTCAGTCCAGTGATCCAGTAAGCGACTGCATTCAAACAATCCGTCCAAAATAGCGCTAATGTAAAGAAAACCAGGCTGATTATTACATCACAGATGGCAGAGAGAATAGAGACTCGCGTTGCGTTTTCAGTGAATTATTCCAGTGTGTTTCGCTTTAAAACACGAGCTCTGTCATATTCTGTGATTCTCTGAAGAGCGCGAGAGCTCACTCACGTGTCGCGCTGTGTGAAATACAGACTGAACGGACACCAGATGATATGCAAACTACGTGTTCTCGGCTGGATAAAGCAAACCAGCTTCTCTCTAGTAAAGTTTTGATGGTTGAGGATTGCAATCAAGGTAAGGACAATTGCGGTGACATACAGGAGTCGTACAGTAAGCACACGTGAGTCTGATATATTGATGCACAGATCATACATTGTATGCATAGACACATTTCTGTGCTGACAGACTGGCGTTCTGACAGCGCAAGCTTCATGCTTTCTAACCTTATCTCCATTTTGTTGCAGTTATTCTGCTTATTGTACATATAAAATACAAGAAATTTATATCAGTAGTGCCTTATTCATAATTATGACCACAAAGTCTGTTTACAATGTCTACCATTGTAAAATGTTTGCATCTGCCAATGTCTGTATACAGTGTGTGCATTTACATACATAGAGATAGAGAGTGTATCTTGAAATATATATACATATACAGTACATACATCATACATATATTTATTTTACTCTCTGCACAACTCTGTATACATTGAATTGATTTTAAATAACTTTAATGTACCTGAAGTGTGCACCAAACATACATTCCTAGAGGAATATTCAAGTATCAGATCGGGACTCTGTATTGGCAGATACTCAGTATTCATTGACTCGGATCGGATCGATTGGGGGCAGAAAAACCTGATCGGGACATCCCTAAAAAAATACTTGCAGAATACTAAAAAAATACTTGCAGAAAAATTAGTTTTGTAAGAATCACCCTTCAATTGGTTTACTTAGACATAGCAAATAATGACAAAATTAACATGTTAAACAATAAATGGTATATGCTTAATTTCACGATAAGTATGCGATTAATCACGATTAATCACAGAAAAAAAGGGTGTGATTAATCTGATTAAAAGTTTTAATCTATTGACAGCCCTAATTATATCATATCATATCATATCATATCATATCATATATTATATATTATTATATATTATATTATAATTATTTGTATGGTTATTATAAGCATAGTACACATTTCAACATAAAAATGTGCAAAATAAAATAAATAAAAATAAAGCAATTTTATTATATTTATATTATATGATATATTATAATTATTTGCATGGTTATTATAAGCATAGTACACATTACAACAGTAAAATGTTTAAAATAAATAAATAAATATAATTATATTATATTGTATTTATTGTTTACATAGTTATAGGCATATAGTACACATTTCAACATAAAATGTTTAAAATAAAATAAATAAAAATCAAATGATCTTAAAATTAAATTAATTAACTTAATTATATTATATTTAATAAATAGTAAAATCATTTGTTTTATTTAAAATGTGTGCCATGCTTCGGACTATTTACCTCATGAGATTTAAATTTTAAATTTAATGCATTTTCCCCAAATGTGTGTCAAAAGCTGTCAAATAATTTCACTTTTTTCAATTTTCATTTTTAGCCTCCTCTCTCAGCTGAAGGTTTATCCCAGCCGTCCTCATCTGTAAACCTACCTGGACCCAGTTATCCTCGCCAGACCATCGACCCCGACATGACCTTCAACCCCAGTGGTGAAACCTCAGAGCCCAAGTTCAAAGGTCGCTCAGAATACATCAGTGACTTCCATCACTCTCTGAACCTCTCGTCTGGCCTGGTCCCGTACGGTCCGCAGACGCCGTTCAGCGGTCACAGCACTGAGATGCCAGGTGTCATGGCACAGGAAAGCCCTTACCCATCAGCCTGCCTCAGACACAGATATTCCTCCAGCCAATCACAGACCTGTGCGGCTGCCACGTCCACGGTCATCACCCACACTGGCTCTGCCATGACCGGCCTGCCATTGGACGCCCAGCATGGATACTCCAGCGTGGCTGAGATGTTTCTTCCTGCCACCTGCATGTCTTTGAGCTACCAGCCCATGACAGCCACCCCATCTCTGCCTTCGCCCGGCGTCTCTCACTGCTTCTCTGTGCCGCAGCAGGTGGGCGTGGCCACTGGCGGGGGGAAGCACAAACAAAAGACAGGAGGAGCCCAATTGGTTCCCAGGGTGATGACTTCATCTACAGCCCCGCCCACTCAGACGAGCTGCCTGGCCAATCTGCTCTCTTCCAGATCTCAAGAGCGTATGTAGATGTTTGATTCATTTGTCATTTTTCCTGCTTAGTTTCTTCAATTTTTGCCAGTGAGCATCTGGACGGCTGAAGGAATGTCCCAGATTCAAAACTAATTTTAGCACTTGCTATCTGAAACTAAAACTATAAAAAAAAAAAGTTAATTGAATTAAACCTGATATTAAATAAAATATAGATATTAAATAAAAATAAAAAACTTAAAAAAACTGTTGCCTTGGCAGCTAACTGAAATAAAACAAGTTTTAGCTAAAGTACTAAAATTACTAAAACTGAAATAAAAATAACTTAAAGCTAACTAGAAATATAAAAAAGACATAAAACAAAAGCACTTAGCAAAATAACCAAACCTTAAACAAAAATTAAAATGAAATCTGAAAATATAAAAATAAACAGTCTAATTATATAAGTAATTTAATATATATGAATAAACTATAGTATATATATATATAAATAATAGTAAAATAACACTGATGTTAACATGTATTATATTATGTATAAATGTAAAAATAAATTTTGTTCATTGAATTAAAGCTGAAATAAAATATAAATATTAGATGAAAAGTAAAAAAAAAACTTAAATGAGAAATTCTGCCTTGGCAACTAACTGAAATAAAATAAGTTTCAGTTGAAGTACTAAAATTAATAAAACAAAAACTGAAATGAAAATAAAATAAATTAAAGCAAAGTAAAAAAACAACAAAAACTAATAAAAAAAGACAAAAGCGCATAACAAAATCTATAAAACAAACTAAAATGAAAATGAAAACTGAAAATATAAAAATAAAACTTAATTCAAATTACTGATAAATACTATAATCATATATGCTGTATATATATATATATATAAAATACATGTTAACATCATTATTGATATAATTCATGTTAACATCAGCGTTATAAATAATAGTAAAATAACACTGATGTTAACATGTATTATATCAAAGTTTTCACAACTGTTTGTTTTTAGAAACTAAGGAATGTGTCTAAATTATTTTCTGTGAGATTTAACAGCATAACACAGATGCTCATTCCTTAACATTTTTAAAACCTTCTCTCTAGGAAAACCATCGTTGAGTTTTGATGCTCCGTCAGCGGGGTTAAAGGGCCACAGACCAACGTCACCCATCTCTCCGGTAAGTTCTCCTCATAGTGAAATAAAATATCTACAGCACACTGTAAAACAAGTGAAAATAATACAACCACACCGACAGACATGTAGACGAGAGACTGGAGTAATGATGCAGAAAATTCAGCTTTGCCAGCAAAGAAAAAAATTACATTTTAAAATAGAAAACAGCTATTTTAAACTTTAATAGTATTTCACAATGTTACTGTTTTTACTGTATTTTTGGTAAAAAAAAAAAAAATGCAGTCTTGGTGAGTTGAAGAGCCTTCTTTCAAAAACATTTAAAAAATCCTAATTATTCTCCATAACAGCCAAAGAGCAGCAGTCGAGGAGGATCGCAGATTTCCCACAATCTCCCCTGGGCCTCTACTGCAATCCCTCCACTCTCACCGTTACATTGTCAGATGCACATGTCAACCCATGGCCACAGCGGCACCCCGCAGGGAAGCACCATCTCCTCTCTGCTCACGCAACAAACGCCGCTTCTCACCCCCAAAACAGAAAAACTCTCCCCAGTACAAATGCACACAAGTGACAGGAGCAGTTTAACAGGTGTGTTGATTTGTGTGGTTTTAGAGGAATAGTTCACCCAAAGATTAAAATTAGCTAAAAACGTACTCACCCTCAGGCCATCCAAGATGTAGATGAGTTTGTTTCTTCTTCCATCAGTGTCTCAGCAATGCATGCTCTGCAGTGAATGGGTGCCGTCAGAATGAGAGTCCAAACAGCTGATAAAAACATCACAATAATCCACAAGTAATCCACACCACTCCAGTCCATCAGTTAATGTCTTGCGAAGTGAAAAGCTGCGCGTTTGTATAAAAGCAAATCTAACATTAAGACGTTTTTAACTTCAAACTGTTGCTTCCTGCTAAAATACGAGTCCATAATCTATAATGTTGCTTCCTCCAGTGGAAAAAATTGGTCTGGTCTGAATCAGGAGTGAAATATGCACAGATCAAACACCGTTTACAAGCAAAACAGCCCAAAGCAAATACGTTGGTGGATTTTGATGTGAGAGGACAACAGGACCTTTTTACTGGAGGAAGCGTTATTATGGATTATGGACTGGTATTTTGGCGAGAAGCAATGGTTTGAATTTAAAAATGTGTTAATGATGGATTCGTTTCTTACAGTCATGCAGCTTTTGCAGCATTAACTGATGAACTGGAGTGGTGTGGATTACTTGTGGATCATTGTGATGTTTTTATCAGCTGTTTGGACTCTCATTCTGACGGCACCCATTCACTGCAGAGGATTAATTGGTGAGCAAGTGATGCAATGCTACATTTCTCCAAATCTGATAAAGAAACTAACTCATCTACATCTTAGATGACTTGAGAGAAATGTGTTAATGATGGATTCGTTTCTTACAGTCATGCAGCTTTTGGCTTCACAAGGCATTAACTGATGAACTGGAGTGGTGTGGATTACTTGTGGATCATTGTGATGTTTTTATCAGCTGTTTGGACTCTCATTCTGACGGCACCCATTCACTGCAGAGGATTAATTGGTGAGCAAGTGATGCAATGCTACATTTCTCCAAATCTGATAAAGAAACTAACTCATCTACATCTTAGATGACTTGAGAGTAGTGAGTACATTATCAGCAAATTACAGTTACAGTATATTTACATTTACAACTATATGATGTCATGCATAATAACTCAAGCATTGTGTTTTAATTCAAGAGGAATGAAATGTCTTAATTTGAAATGTATTTTTAGTTAGCTTTTCAGGAAACATGGGACAGACGTCACCTACAAATCCACCAGAGAAAAGCCCAGAGTCGTTGCCTGGACAAGCCAAGATGGAGTCCACAAGAGTAAAAACACAAATCCATCCACAATTATTTTATAGCCCCACAGTTTGTGTTTCTAATGCAGGGTTTCCACAGGTCCATTAACAGTCTTAGTTATGATTTCAGGAGGTCTTAAATTTTGGGGCGGAAAGACAAGAATTGCGATATGGCTGAATGTGACGATTAAACTTCAAAAGGCTATGATTTCATTGAATGAATATGAGCGCTGCACGTTTCTTTGTGTACAGTCATTACGGAGGAAACCGATATATTTCTGCCGCTCTGAAAGCGCCTCCTGCTGGCAGAGAATGAATTTGCATGTTCAATAAGCCAGTCTGCTGTTTTTGTTCAGACCAATGTGAAAATCAACCCATGTTTTTACGCTGCAAAGACGCAGAATTGTAAATGTGAACTGGTGGATCGACAAGAAGATAATGCATTATAAAAATTTTAACAATTAAGACAGTAAAATATATTTATGTTATTTAATTAATATAATAATTGATTGAAAATAAATTGTTTAAATGAATATAATAATTGATACTTTTGACTCATCCGTTTTCTTAAAAATGGTTTAAAGGCTGAAATGCGAATTTGATCATTTTATGAAAACTTTGTTTTTGTGAAAACCTGTATTTGAACTGTAAATCATGCTTTTTACAGTCATTTTACAGTTTAATATGTTACTATAGACACGGTCCTACCCCGCTCATATGGTATTCATTTTATTTGTGCAGGTCTTAAAAAGTCTTAAATTTGAGCTTAAAAATCCTGCAGAAACCCTGTAATGTTGTCTTTTTTTATAGACAGACACACGACGGATCACACACATTTCTGCCGAGCAGAAGAGACGGTTCAACATCAAGCTTGGCTTTGACACGTTACACAGTCTGGTGACGACTCTCAGCTCACAGCCCAGTATAAAGGTAACACTAATTTCAGTGGCTCTATCAAACAGCACATGTGAAAAAGAAGTGTGCTTAATTGTATTGAATGTGCACTTGTAGTGTACATCAAACCTTAAAAGCATGTTTTTTAAAAACTCTACTTGCAGATAATATAAGTTTGTCAAGAAACATAGTCATGAGAGTGTCTCTCTTTAAGTACACTTTTAAAAAGTGCACTTTGTAATAATGTCAAATTAAATGTTTTACTTTAAAGTACATTTTAAATCTTTATGTTTTAATAATCTTTTGTCACACTTTAAAGAAATACACTTATTTTGATGTGTCGACTAACATTATTATAATTTCATCTGTAGTGTGCTCTTGGATATTACATTTAATGTTAATATGGTTGAAGTACTAAAATGACTAAAACTGAAATAAAAATAAATTACAGATGAATAGAAATATAAAAAAAACTAATACAAAAATGACAAAAAAAATACTAACTTAAAAATTAAAATTAAAAAAATAAAAGCTTATTTAAAATATTAATATTAAAATATTGCTATAAAAGTTAAGCTCAAATTAAAATGAAAATATAAAAAATAAAAGCTAATTTAAATTTTATTAATAAATATTGTAATAACAAGTTTCAATAGAAATGACATTAAAGTGTATTATAGTTTACCATAACATACATTTGGCAGAACACTTTAAATTTATTTTTAAGACAGTAGAAGTAATTATGAAATTCCATATAAAGATATAAAGCACTCTTTTAAGTTTAAACTAATACATTTTCATTTAATTGTAAATAACATGCATTTAAGTGTACGAAAACATTACATTCATTTCGCACTACAGTATATTGTTTCTGTAATAAGTACTCTTTTTAAATAGTATGCTGAAGTGTACTTCTTTTTCACAAGGGAATAATAGCGATGCATTTGAGCTTCTAAGTTGCTTCAGATGAATATGTCTGGGAGATTTCTCATCTGGTTTAATATCTTCACCTCTGTACTCTCATTCACTCTCATGGTCTCAGATCAGTAAGGCCACGACGCTGCAGAAGACGGCGGAGTACATCAGTAAGATGCAGCAGGAGAGAGCTCAGCTCCACGAGGAGGCCCAGAGACTCCGAGACGAGATCCTCACGCTCAACTCTGCCATCAAGTGAGTGCGTTTGGGCTATTTTACAACGTGTGGTGAACATAGTTATGAGAGACATCTACGTGAATGCGTGAGTGTGAATGTATCTGGACTGTGTGTATGCAGTGCGTGTCAGCAGCAGCTTCCGGCTACAGGCGTCCCAATAACACGACAGCGCTTCGACCACATGAGGGAGAAGTTCAGAGAGTACGTGAGGGCTCAAACGCTGCAGAACTGGAAGTTCTGGATCGTATCCTATACAAAGCGGTTTCAAATCTCAAATCAAATGGCTGATTGACAGAGAAAGTCTTGTTGGTTAAGCAACCCAGGTGAACTAGGTAAAAGAAATGAACTAACAGAGATCACCGTACTTCTACAGTTGATTAAAAATGTTTTTAAAATGTTAAGTTTAATGATTCAAATGATGCATTATCTAATTAAATATACACTCATTTGCATGCATTTCCAGGACAGAAATCTGAACATAGGACAGGTTAAAAAAAAAATTTACGAAAGGGATTTTGAATATTTTTTTAATCACTCCATAAATCACAAAATAAATGTCAACAGCCAGAAGAAATACATTTCCTCCATGTTTTTAGGAATAAAATCAGTGTGAATTATGAACGAACACCTCTGTGAAGGTTGGTGTGAAACTGAAGTTTTGGATGCAAATAGATGAAGTGTAATAAAACAAACACTTAAATGCGTATAAACTACTAGTCTGAAAGAAGACATGCCATGCAAGCAAAATAGCTTCAAAATTGACCTGTGCATGAAAAAGACAATGCTTTTGCAGAGACCAGCACCCACAACATCTGTGCTGGTCCTTTTAGCATGATTCATTCTGTTAAGATGCAAGTCCTCCACGTCTTCATATTTTCCTCAACTGAAGCCATTCTCTTAGTTCAGCATCCTCATCGAGCCGCTTTTTGAGTCGTTTAACGCTATGGTGTCCACAGCCAGTGTCGATGATCTGTGTCGCAGCACTCTGTCCTGGCTGGACCAGCACTGCTCTCTGCCCGCGCTCAGACCCAGTGAGTGACCAGCACCTCTCTACAACCTTCCCTCAGACCTCAGAATCATTTGCTGCCTTTCTGAACAAACCTCTTTTCAGCGTCCTGGCATATTAATCCCTCCCTGCCTTCTTAAGTTTATTTATTTGTTTATTTTGAACTGCATAGCATTTTACAAAGGAGTGTATCACCTTGATTTTACCACGGTTTAGGGGTGTTTTCAAGCATGATGGAAAACAGAATCATGGTAAACTTGCTGTAACCGCAAGTGGAAACAGCCGTATGATAAAAGTTACATTTATTATATTATTGCGTTAATTATACGTTATGATGTGATAAAAAACAATATATACACTATCATTCAAAAGTTTGGGGGATGGTACGTTTTTTTTTTATATTAAAAGAAGTCTCTTCTGCTCATCAAGGCTGCATTTATTTGATCAAAAATACAGTAATATTGTGAAATATTATTGCAAATTGAAATAACAGTTTTCTATGTGAATGTATAGTAAACTGTAATTTATATCTGTGATGCAAAGCTGAATTTTCAGCATCATTACTCCAGTCTTCAGTGTCACATGATCTTCAGAAATCATTCTAATATGCTGATTTGCTGCTCTTATTATTATCAATAACAAATCAAAATTTCTTTTTACTATATAATTAATTTTTTTTGTGGAACCATGATAAATTTTTTTCAAGATTATTTAATGAATAGAAAATCTTAGAAACTATATAACTCGTTAGCAATTTAGGATTAGGGTTTTGTTTTTGATGAATAGCAAGTTCAAAAGAACAGCATTTATTTGAAATTGAAATTATAAATGCTATAATTATATATGTCTCTACTGTCACTTTCAATCCTTTTAATGCGTATTTGCTGAATACAAAAAATATTTTTTTTTTCTGCCAAGCAACTTGGCAGTCATACAGAATTCACCCGAAATCACCAGTGTGTGTTTATCTGCATTTTACAACGGCAGAACCTGCTTATCCAATCAGAAACCGAGTCGGATCTATCAGATATGATCAGTTTTATCGTAATACTTCTACCATGTCTTGTCTCTGTGTTTCTCTCCAGCTGTTTTGAGTTCCCTCCGTCTGCTCTGCACCTCCACATCAATCCTCTCAGACCCCAGTCTGGTTCCTGAACAGGCCGTCCAGGCCGTCACTCACGGACATTCATCCCACAGCTACAGCCAATGACAGCACACGCTCGCAAAACCACAGCCAATCACACGACCCACATGCGCATCCAATCAGAACACTCGTCCCGCAGCAACGACCAATGACATTTTACTCTCTCACAAATGCAGCCAATGATGCTCTTTCCCACAAATGTGCAAGTGCTTATGGATGGTAAAATGACTACAGCTTTGCTTGAGTTTTTATTATTTATAGGAAAACAGAGATGATGATCAGAATTGATGCGGAGAAGAAAGAAGAATTGACGTGAGCCAGATTGAAACTCAGAGGGTTCAGTATATTGTATTCAGTTCAGTTCATTTTTCACGTGCCGTTTAATGCCTCACTGATGAAGACACAGCATACGTTTTGTTGTTGTTATTGTTTTGTAATTCTCATAAAACTATCGGTCAGTGTGAGTGTGATACAGTGGGGCATATTATCTATAACGTTCTGTGCCTGGTTCATGTTTCCACATGTAATTTCAGCTTTGGACTGTTTGGCTGCTCTTTTAAAAAACTCCTCCCAGGAATAAATGTAGGATCGGACTGTTTTTCTTAGAGTGTGTTTGTCTTACAGTGATCAAATGGCAAATCACACTCATATGGTAAGCGTCTGGTGTCCCGTAACATTTTGTAAAGCATTAGATGCACAAATCCCATGTTTTTTCCCTATTAGGTAAACTATTATCTAGCATACTGTAAAATTGAACTAGAATGAAAAGTAACGATTTAATGTCTATACTAAAATGTTACAGAAAATGTAATGTTAACAATGTCAAATTGTAAAACCCAAGAAATTGCCATTTGGACGCTTTCTACAGAATCAGGTTTAGACAAGTAAATTTTTTGATTTCATGTTTGACATTTTTAAATGATTAGAAAAACTGCATTCCTCAAGCATGCAGTTCTGTTTCAAAAGTTATTATGAGAAAAATACCAAACAAATACTAAAGACATATACATATATATATATATATATATAATATTGTGAAATATTATTGCAATTGAAAATAACTTTTCTATATGGATTTATTTTAAAATGTAATTCATTTCTGATGTCAAACCAAGAATCTTCAGGTTAGAATCTTCTAGAAATCATTCTAATATGCTGATTTTCTGCTCAAGTAATTTTTTTTTATTATAAATGTTAAAAAAATACCATTCAAAGGTTATTATAAGAAAAATACCAAACAAATACTAAATACATATATATTTATAGTATTGTGAAATGTTACTGCAATTTAAAATAACTTCTATACAGATTCATTTTAAAATGTAATTTATTTCTGATGTCAAAGCAGAATCTTCAGGTTAGAGTCTTCTAGAAATTCTAATATGATTATTTTCTGCTCAAGTATTTTTTATTTATTTATATTTCTAATAGTGAAATATTGCAATTTAAAATAACACTTTATGGATTTATTTTAAAATGTAATTTATTTCTGATGTCAAACCAGAATCTTCAGGAAATTATTCTAATATGCTGATTTTCTGTTCAAGTCAATTTTTTAAATTTATTTATTATAAATGTCGAAAACATTTTTATTATGAAACAGAAATACCATTCAAAAGTTATTATAAGACAAAATACCAAACAAATGTTAAATACATATATATTTATATTTATAATATTGCAATTTAAAATAACTGTTTTCTATATGGATTTATTTTAAAATGTAATTTATTTCTGATGTCAAACCAAAATCTTCAGGTTAGAGTCTTCTAGAAATTCTAATATGCTGATTTTCTGCTCAAGTAATTTTTTTTTTTTAATATAAATGTTGAAAACATTTTTTATTATGGAAAAATACCATTCAAAAGTGTGCGGTAAGTAATATATAAATAACTAAATAATACTTAATTAGTATATTATGAACTTCCTATTTAGCAAAGAAACCTGAAAAAATGATAAGTTTACAAAATATTAAGCAGCAACAAACATTGATTTAAAAAAAACCATTTTATGTATTCTAATTTGTTTTCACGATACAGAAATGTTCCTGTGGTAAAACTACATCACCTGGTGTCGCTAGTGCATTCAGGCTTTTATACTTATATTTCCCTCACATTCTATAAATACCTTTAAATGACTGTTTCATGAATTATTGTTATTATTATTACTTAATTTGTCTGTTTTTAGGGTCATACTGTTTTTTTTGTTTTTTGTTTAATGTGATGGAATTGCTCGTTTTGAAATGAGTCAGTATTGCAGTGCACCGCGGTTGCTCCTCCTGAGCGCTGGGGGGCGCTGCGCCTGACGCGGTTCGGCTCGAATCGTCCCGTTCTCGGCTTCTACGCTGCTGCGCTGCCGCTGTCCAGTACTGAGCGTTCAGCACCGCGAGCGGAGGACAGCTCCCGACCTTCCGAGAAAAACACAGCAGACCGCCGCAGAACCGCTTCAGCCGGCCTCATCTACCACCGGTAAGGTTATTCCCCGCTTCCCATCAAACACACGCAATAATAGCGCTGAAACAACACGGGAATGTGTGTGAACATCAAACACACACAACACACAGCGGCGGCAGCGCTACAAGCTCTTAATGTGATTAAACGCGATTATTTTCAACACGCTGATGCTTTTGTTCTTTACACTGTGTTTACGCGCCTGTGTAATTAAAATACACACAAAAGACGTTTAATTAGAATATTTTCCGTGTTTATTAAAGCGCTCTCATCTTGAGCGTCTGACAAATCGCTGTTTTCGATAAGAATGAACGATGAGCTTTATAGCTGAATCTCAGATTGAATGTATTGATTTAAATGATATAGTTGCTCGAGATTGCTTTTGATCAAATAACAGTCCCGTGATGATTTATGACGGTAATCATCATTAGAAAACTGATCCGAGCCTTAGAGAAGCAGCCTGGGTGAATCTCATAAAATCTATCAAAAATGTGCCCAGATCATATTTGTTCTTTCCCAGCTAACAGATGTATGTTATAGAAACGTTATTATAGCGTTATTTAAAGGTTGCAAAATTTTCTAATTCTACTAACTTAATTTTCACCCCAAATATAACGTTATTTCAACGTATGTTCTTAATATTCTGATAACGTTCAAATGTTTCTTGACGTGATTAGAACGATATTTAAAGGTTCTTAGAACGTTCATCAAGTATCACCATAAGGATGTTGTTATAAGAACGTTTTCTCAACGTTATGAGAACATATATCAAATATTAATAAAGTTATAAGATCGTAACATTCACATTTTCTTTAAAAGCATTTTGTCACAACATTTATATAAGGTCAGCTAGGTTATTATGTACAAATTTAAGCTCTTTTGTTGATGCGCGTTTACTAATTTTGCAGTATTTATAATAAGTTTGTACGAAATACATAGTAATAATCAGTGTTGGGGGTAACGCATTACAAGTAACGCGAGTTACGTAATCAGATTACTTTTTTTCAAGTAACAACATTTTGGTGTGAAAAGGCTTTTATATTTGCCAAAAATAGAACTTTTTTATTTTAAAAACAAACAAGCAAGCCCTGTCCAGATTTAAAAAGTAACGCAAAAGTAACGTAACGCATTACTTTCCATAAAAAGTAACTAAGTACCGTAATTAGTTACTTTTTTATGGAGTAACGCAATATTGTAATGCATTACTTTTAAAAGTAACTTTCCCCATCACTGGTAATAAACTATGTGTATCATTTTAAATACATAATTACCTTCTCATATTTATGCATTATTGTTCTTATTCCTGTTTAAAATCTACTAAAATCTTAGTATTTTTTTTACTGTGCTTTTGCTTTTGAACAGTAACGCTGCAGAGATGAGGTTCATCTGTGTTTTAGTGAGGGTCTCTGCGCTCCGCTCACCCTTACGTGAAACACTCTGCACCCTCTTTATTGAGGGGTCACTGGCTGCTGGTTGTTCAGAACGAGACAAATGCGCCCACTTAACGGAGGGGAGTTAGTTATCCACAGCTGGCTGTCGATAATTTCCCAGGGTGCCGTTTTAGTCTGCATATCCCTAGTAATGTAGATTTATTCAGCATGCAGGCTGATTTGAGAAGGTTTAGTGAATAGACGTGTCAAGGTAAAGCGGTATAAAGGTAAATACTTCTCACTAAATGTTTAGTTTCATTCAGAGGCTGTAGCAATGACATGCATGCTGCAGAGCTGCTGTTTTTTAGCTCTTTAAAGCTTAACAAAACAATGTGTCTGGACCCTTAACACTGTTAAGATGCTAAACCTTTTGTTAGAAATGTTAGAAATGTTAGAAATTCAAATAGGAAGACTTTAAAGATGTGCAATGTTTGCTGGATCGTTTTTTGGCTGCTGGTCTGTGGGACAGAAAATTCATTCCGATCAGTTCTGTGTGTGTGTGTGTGTGTAAACATTGAGAGGCTCTCATAGTAATTTGTTTAAAATATGAGCGGTGCTTTCCTGTGCAAAACTCACCGGCACCATCCTAAGCTGTTTTGAGTGTTTGTTAGGGTTTTGCTAAGTGGTTGTGAGAGTATTCTGGTTGCCGGTGTGTTGCTACGGTTTGCTGGGTGGTTGCTAGATGGTTTCCTATTGGTCTAAGTAAAAATAGCATCCTTCAGTGTGCGTCTGCTGCTGGTTGTTCAGAACGAGACAAATGCGCCCACTTAACGGAGGGGAGTTAGTTATCCACAGCTGGCTGTCGATAATTTCCCAGGGTGCCGTTTTAGTCTGCATATCCCTAGTAATGTAGATTTATTCAGCATGCAGGCTGATTTGAGAAGGTTTAGTGAATAGACGTGTCAAGGTAAAGCGGTATAAAGGTAAATACATCTCACTAAATGTTTAGTTTCATTAAGAGGCTGTAGCAATGACATGCATGCTGCAGAGCTGGTGTTTTTTAGCTCTTTAAAGCTTAATAAAGCATTGTGTCTGGACCCAGTAGACACTGTTAAGATGCTAAACCTTTTATCTATGTGTGCTGGAATGGGGTTTTCATGAATCAATAGTACACAGTATAAAACTTTACCATTTTGCGGGAGAAATGTAAGAAATTCAAATTGGAAGACTTTAAAGATGTACAATGTTTGCTGGGCTGTTTTTTGGCTGCTGGTCTGTGGGACAGAAAATTCATTCCGATCAGTTCTGTGTGTGTGTGTGTAAACATTGAGAGGCTCTCATAGTAATTTGTTTAAAATATGAGCGGTGCTTTCCTGTGCAAAACTCACCGGCACCATCCTAAGCTGTTTTGAGTGTTTGTTAGGGTTTTGCTAAGTGGTTGTGAGAGTATTCTGGTTGCCGGTGTGTTGCTACGGTTTGCTGGGTGGTTGCTAGATGGTTTCCTATTGGTCTAAGTAAAAATAGCATCCTTCAGTGTGCGTCTATGGGATTTGTTTCATCTATTTTATTTTCCTGCACTCTCAGAAAAAAGGTACAATTGTCACTTGAGCGGTACCTTTTCAAAAGGAACTAATATGTGCCATTTAGATACTAATATGTACACTTTAGGTACAAATATGACCCTACTAAAATGTAATCTTTAAGGGTAAAAAAAGGTACAAATGTGTAGCTTTTGAAAGGGTGTCGTCCCAGTAGCAGCTTTTGTACC